GCAACGAGCGTTTCCGCTGCCCCGAGTCCCTGTTCCAGCCTTCCTTCCTGGGAATGGAATCCTGCGGCATCCACGAGACCGTCTACAACTCCATCATGAAGTGCGACGTGGACATCCGCAAGGACCTGTACGCCAACATTGTCATGTCCGGTGGCACCACCATGTACCCCGGTATTGCCGATCGCATGCAGAAGGAGATCACCTCCCTGGCCCCATCCACCATCAAGATCAAGATCATTGCTCCCCCAGAGCGCAAATACTCCGTCTGGATCGGTGGCTCCATCCTGGCCTCTCTGTCCACCTTCCAGCAGATGTGGATCTCCAAGGAGGAGTACGACGAGTCCGGCCCCGGCATCGTCCACCGCAAGTGCTTCTAAGCAGTTGCCTAGCACCACCTGCACCTCCCGGTGTCACCTTACCTGTCCTGCTCACCTGGCTCTACTTCTGGTGGTTCTGGGCTTATGGGCAGCTGGTGCTCCACCGACAAAAACAACACCAACACCATCCACCCATTTGTTTTTGAATGTCATTATTTACCAACGTGTCATCCTTGGTTCTTGAATAATCTTTTGTACTGACTGAACACAACACCATCAATCAATGAACTATCAATCTAATGCCATGGGCCGCGATCCCCATCCACTTGTTAATCGCTCGCGGCTTCCCTTAAATGTTGATCGCCATTTGATTGTTTTACGAATGAACCGACACCCTCATGTATTTTGTACAGCACCTAACAACGTCCCCGGTAGAGCGGATGGGGTCTATTGACTACGAAATGTAAAATAATCTCATGATTGTAATATTAATTAAAACAATTTATAATTATTTATAAATAAAAACGATTTTTTAGATTTAATTTTTTCTAAAAACATAATGATTTTGGAAAAAATTTGGTCAGTGGGGGGGGAGTCATACAATGGGATAAAGGGATGCTATAGTATCCAGGCATAAAAGCTTTACCGAAAAGTTTTCCACGCTCATAACCAATGAAGCTTTCCATCGATCAGCATTTGATGATGTCTATTTTAAGCTGTCTGGGAAAGCTTTTACCACTTCCAGGCGGGGCGTTTCGAATTTCCCAAATACCACCTCAAAAGCTTTCTGGGAATGCCAAAAATATTCCCCAAAATATTTCTTGTGTATGCGGAGATTTCGAAACGTTTTCTGATATTTTTAGACGCATTCCAAAGTGGAAGCAGAACCGAAAATGTTTGTTTATGCCATTGGGAAACACGATAGGCCGAAAGCAGATGACGCAAGTCGCATGTATGATCAAAGGCGGCAACGAAAACAAATTGCCAATGTCAATTTGGTGCCGCCCTGAACTGATTACCAGAAATGCATTTCATTCCTGTGAAATAAATGAGAAATGTTATGAGAATGCCAGAGACAAATGTTCTTGCCGGGATTGCCAAGACAATTAGTCAAGATGGCGCTGGGCCGTTTAATTAGAACTCGATTTGCATTATGAATGAAATTTGTATTCGCGGTCGTCGCCGATCGCCCGTCGACGTCCCTGTTGCAGTTGCAGTCGCAATTTCAGTTGCATCCACGTACAAATGGGTAATTAATGTGCCCGAATCACTGGCACTTGGCCAAAACAGGGGGGGAATCGGCGACAGATGCCGCTAATGAGTTGCATAGTGAGATGGGCCAAAAATGGGCGCAACTTGCACGACCGAATTTCACTTTCTCAAGCGAATCACTTTACACCGGGCTGCACAACAACAAACACGGAATTTGGGACGCAGACCGGGATCAAATCCCGGAATGAGAACTCACCAACCCCCGGAGTAAGCTTGGCCCACTAATCAATTTGCACAAAAACAAAAATAAACACGCACACAATGTCGACAACGTCGTCGTCATAATGCAATTTTCAGTTCTTAATTTCCATACAAATTCGATTTAAAATTCATAATAAAGAGCGCAAATATTCGAAATCGAGTAAAGCACATAAGTACCTTCGCCTATGTACGACTTCCAGCTTCAAGTATGCCGCACAAAACGACCCATATGGTCAATTAGTATGACTGCTCTGGCTGCCAACCAACAATGAGGGCATCAAGTTCTTTAAGTTCTTCAAGGCGCTGGCATATACTCGTAGTCGTACTCGTATTCGTACTCGTATTTGTACTCATATTATATGGAGACATCGCACACACCCCAAAGCACACACATTGTTTTCACTTCAATTATGATCGATGAAGCTGCAAAGCCACCAAAAATCCGAATATAATAAAATCCAAACTTGAGTGCACCGAAGCGTAAAGTGTTGGAAGCTCTGAGACTTGAAAAATGTTTCTTGAAAAGCGATTCACTTATTCGCTATATGCACTGGTAAAAATTCAGCTTTATATTATTATATGCTTCGAATTTTACAATATTTTATTGTTGCTTCGTTTTTACTTCCTAACATTCCACTGAACTATTGCACTTTTATAGCTTTTCCAACTAAAAATGTTTACAAAACTATTTTATTTTATTCAAGGTGTAGTTTTATATTAAATTATGTGCTTTAAGAGACAAAACATTCATTAAAAAAAAAGTATAGTCATTTTTTTAACTAATGTCTAGTTTAACAGTGCTTTTATAAAGAGAATTAACAAATTTAATATGTATTTTTTTTCTTAAAATTAAACGATTATTAAACGCATTCATTTATTTTACAGAAAATAATTGCATACCTTTTATTTAAGAGATTAAAAACCAAATGTATATTTTAAAAGTTATTTTCTAAAATCCCGCCCAATCCGCAAAATCAAGAAAATGTTGTCATATCTTATTTATTTTTAAAGGTATTAACTCATTTTTAAGTTAAAATATTATTTAAAAACAAAAATTTTCAATAACTATTCTTTAATTGAGCAGGTATTCAATTTTAATTAAAATGTATGTAATTCATAATTGCTTTGATAAAATATAATTGCCGACATTTTATTTTATTGAATTCAGGTTGCACATTGCCAAACCAGCAATACAACTTAATTACAAAGTAATATTTTACCAAGAAGGGTTTAATTACTTATTAATATTTCAACTTTTCAGAGTTTATTTTAGTTTTATCCCAATTAATGTGGGTTTCAAAGAAACACTGGAACAATTTAAAATCCGCTTCAGGCAAGGTAATTTAAATTGATTGATTTAAATTTTTCCCAATCCCACCCACTTCCACAATATCCCTTCCCCGCTTGTCGACTGAATGAAAATATAAATCGCGGGGATAATGAAAAGCGTCACATTTGATTGCATTTTTTGTGTGAAATTGGGCTGACAATGTTCGCATTCGCTGACCAAATAAAAATAAAGAAGAAAAAGCGAGCGATCCGAGCGGAGGAAGACCAACTTACACGGCCAAAGGGGTGATGCATTCACGTGGTTAACACACACGCACATATACATATGTATATTGGGGGTGATTGCCGTTGACGAACAGGCAAAAGGGTGCAGCCCATTGGAACAGGAACAGGAACAGGACCTGGCCCAGGCCCAGGCCCAGGACCTCGACGAGGCCGTGTAAACGTGTTAGGGCTGAACAAAAAACACAAAACAAAAATGTGCACTTTACGCAATTTATGTGCAAATTTTTCAATGACTTTAAAACGATGCAGGAGGGCTGATTGACTGGCTGGTTGAGTGACAAGGGGGATGAACCGGCCAGTCATTATAATCGCTCGCTAATTGACTCTAATAGATTTGGTTCCATCAACTGGGGGGAGGTGGTTGCTCTGACCTCCCCAACCCCAATCCAACCCAATCCAACCCTGCCGAGCGGGGAAATTACTTTCGAGACCTTTTCGAAACCCGGTGTAATCTCAAGTACTTTGGCCGTTTCTAAAGAGGTGGCTCAGCGAGATCTTTGGCCTAAGCAGCTTGGGCGAGAAACACTTTAGCACATAGCCGTGTATTATGTGTGAAAAGTAGCCATTAGAAAATTGCCCACAAATTAGCACAAATAATGCGAGCATTTAGCAATTTGAATAAGCTGCCGCACCGCAATACCGAGTCCCACACACACAACGTCCTCATCCCCTCGACCTTTCACCTTTCACCTTTTCACACATGTCCTAAGTCCGCTCACACACGTGAGCCATGGTAATTATGCGCCTGATTAAACTCTACTTTGGCTGCACAAATGACAGTTTCACACTGCTTTGTTGTCCGACTCTGGGCCTTTCTCTCCTAGATATTTTTCTGTTATTTCAAGTGCCGCGCACTTGAATTCTCGGTCATGTCCTTGAAACTGTTCATGCAGAAAGCGACAAAAAAAATAAAAATCCAAAATCCTCGGCAGGACGAAGGGAACAAAAAATGGCTCCGCTCATGGAAATATGAGTTCATGGATGTTGACGACGCTCAAACAAAGGACCTTTTGGGCAAGGCCACGCCTCATCAGAACTGTTTTTTGCCTTCTCTGCCCACTGTCGAGGAAATGGCCGAGGAAATTCGCATTTATTATAATCGCGGGGAAATGTGAAGAGTGCAAAGAAAATTGCTGCCAATTTCCCGCCATAGAACGCGCCCACGACCAGAATCGAAGATGAAATTAATTTTGCAGAGCGCGCAGGCGAGTGCTGCTGCTCAAACTTTGCAATTTGCGGCGCGTTTCCGTTTCCGGTGGGCTTAGCGTGAATGGGGCTCCCTTTTGGCAGACAGAACTGACAGAAAAAGAGGAAGATGCCGGAGCGAAAGGACCTGCTCGGTTGGTAAGGAGAGCTCCAATTGTCATTCATTTCGTTTGATGTGTCACTGTCGCAGCGCGCACAACAATTTTATTTCCATTTTGCTCTCCACTCGCTTTTTTGTTGCCCGAAACGATTAGCAGCCACTTAGAGCAGTTAAGAGCCTCATTGAGTTTATTAAATCAGGCGTAATAATTGGCACACACACACAATGAACTGCGCACCAGGAGAAAAGGGACAACCGGTAGAATAGTAGAATAGACAGCGAGGAATCAAAGTATCGAACGTCGATATCGATTCCCAGGCAGCCAGTTCCTACACTGTCAGATCGCGTTTCCAGTCACACAAACAACACTTTTCGTTTCAATAGGAAAACAAATTGAAAAAGAATAAATTTCAGGCACCTTCAGCATGGCGGACCATGAGGAATATGGTCGTCCGCTGGCAACTATTGCCGATATATTCGACGAGCTGGGTGAGTCTCTATATCAGTAAAATATCATAAGAAGCTACAATTCATGTTTGTTTTTATAAAATATACAAATATTCACCGTATTAAACCTTACGGATAACAACTTTTGAGGTTTAAGCAACGAGCGATCTAATCCTTATAGACTCTTATATTTTTTTTTTTGATTCTTATGAATCTTTATCTATTTTTTTAAACTTTTTTCAAAATCACAGGGTAAAAAAGGTCTTAATAGAAGTATCGTTCTGTCAAAATTATATTCATTAATAGGGTATAAACTCAAACGAATTTTATAAAAGCATATATATTGTATGTCAAACATTTTTAAATAGACCTACATCTAATAGTAGTAATAATAGTAGTAGTAGTAGTAATAACGCTATTTAATAGCTTACATTTTTATTAGTTACTCTTAATACTTTTTTCTTCCTGTTTCCGAACGCAAACCTTTTACAAAGACCTCTAATATTAATAATATTATTTAATTTCTTAAATTCTTATTAGTTACTCTTAATACTCTATTTCTTCCTCTTCCAGAACGCACTAATGCGACACGCGTGCCGCAGGTCCTGCAGCAATTGGAGAAAATCATGGAGCCGGAGGACGAAATGCTGCTGGCTGAAGGCAATCGGCGGGGGAAAAAACCAATTTTTGACGACTAGGCACCAACCAAATTTTCACGTCACAAACCTAACGGGTGACACCTGCCAAGGTGTTGGCCTGGCAATTAATGACTGGCTCAACTTTTCACATTCACATTCACGTGCTCGAGCTGGGCAAACAAAGCCATCCAGAAAAGCTGAAAGCGTCAACAGTAACACGCAAGCCAAGGGCTGGGCTCTAAAGTATACAAACAAATTGTGACAAAGTTGCGGAAATTTAATTAAAATCAAATACAACCTACTGAGCAAAAGGGGTAGTGAATTGGCAGTCAGGTGTGACCCGATAGTTTCTAACACGCTCGCAACTTCGTCTGAATGTCGCTAGTTTTCCGCGTCGTTTAATAAACAAAATGTAAACAAAGTTTAACAGCAATGACACACATGGGCTGCCCCTCCCCCTCCTCCACCCTTTAGGCATTGTTGTTGCCATTGCCTTTTTATTAATATAATTTATGAGCCTGTGGTTGTGAGCGGGAAACGCAAGGCAAGGTGGAAATGCAAACAGGCCCAATACAACAGCTGCCTAATTTCACAGCGCATACATTTGATTAACTTAATTTAATAGTATTTCTTTTTTCGCCGCTATCCATGTTTCGAGCTCATTTTGATATATTTGTTTGTTTATTTAATTTATTATTATAGGTATGACTATGCGCTCTGGTTAACAGCTATAAATTTTGTTATAAAGTTATCGATCATTTTTTATTGCTGCTTTTTCTCGTTTTTATTACACACATTACAAAAGGAATTGTCTTCTTATTTTCGATCAGTACATTTGGAATTAAACAAGTCTGTTCGAGCCAATGTAATAAAAAAAGGAATAAAATAATTTTTCATAACAATTTATTATTTTGCAACAGATTATTGAATTAAATTACCAGAAACTAAATAAAGTCTTTTATACGGATTAAAATAATATGTATTATAGTTACTCTTAAGGTACAATTTACGTACTTTGCTTTTAATTGGTGCGATTAAGACAGTATAACTTCAATACAATTAAATATATATTAATATATCTTTTATAAATAGAAAATTTAGTCCTTAAAAAATAAGGATGTGGCAAATTGAAGTGTTTCAGCATAGCTTTACCTATGAAGAAGTTTTGTCCTTGATATTGTGGTAACTTTTAACTTTTTTTAAATTTGTTAACATATAACAAAGCTATAATCTTAAAATGGGGAAATGACGACATACATTTCTTCGGCGTAGACCATTGGCTAATGAGAACAGCTGCCTGCCTATGTAGCATATACCCAATTCATGCCTGAGGCATGAAACCATTATGACTAAAATCGGTAAACAAAAACCACGGGGCACTGCTCTTTCTTTAATCACGTCCAAAGGAGACGAGTCGTTTTGTCAGCGTTTGGCAATCGATAAAATTAGGCGCAGCTTAGCCACATTTTGAAGTCAGCAGGCCGGAGTTTCCTTCAGCATACATATATCCTCACCTTTTTGAGGAGTCTCAGCTGGAAAGGATCTGCCGTCGGCCCGCTTTGAAATACTTAGCAGGAGCGGGAGCAATCGACACAAAAGTATCGTGTTTCGCAGTTGTCGCCAGCATACCTTTTTCCAGAGAGTATCCTGTCGGAAATGTTTTCTTTTGCAATTGCATGTTGCGGTGTGTTGGCAATTTATGTTCTGGCGATCAGCGATCAGCGATCGAGGGACACCCGATACTCCTTCTGTCGGAATGGGTCCTCTCAAGTGGTCACAAATTACAGCAATTACGGAGCGCCCTTCGGTTCCCTTCTTGTGGCATCCATAAAATGGCGCTCATTAGGCACGTCTTCCCTCCCACCCACAGAAAGCCAGACAATCTGTGTAATTACTGCGCTGACAACTTTTGATGAATTAAATGCGAAATAAATTTTTAAGTGCGCGTAACGAGCGTTGCGGCTGCTGTGCCAAATGAAATGAAAATACGGCGGCAAACAGAGCAGGACGTAAAGACGATTTTCCACGGCAAGGTGAAATCTTCTCTGAGCGTCTGTTGAGCGGATTTAACTTGTTTAATTACCGCTGTATTCAGTTGACTTCAGTGCATCATCAACTGTCGCTCATTATGCCGGGATTGAGCACATATTTATATATACAAGGATACATACAGACGGGTCGAAAATGCTGGCAGTTTTTCAAGTGCACCGCCCACCGTCTCTTATTGCGTCCACTTGCTCCTGTTTTGCGTAACTGTTACCATTTTAATGCGCTCGAGTGTCGAGTGTCGAGAACGAAATTGATTTTCGTTACCCATTGTGTTGGGCATTTTGAAGAGCATTCGGCTCTCATAAAAATTTGTGCCTACACAAGGTGAAATTGCACTGAGCTGAGTGCAAATACGATGGCAAGGCGAGGGAAAGCGGGAAAGTGGGAAAGTGGAAAAGACGACGGCGAGGCCCTCGACACTCAATTTCGTAGAGCCACAAATGCGAAACTCGAAGGGCCACTTGATAAATTTCATATATTTATAGCCCGCAGAGAGTGATGCGCTGCATTTGCACACAGAATGAAATTCCATGAGCACACAAACACACACAAGGACATTTTGGTGGCCCGGCTTACCCCGCCCCCTTTTTGCCACCCACCATTGCAACTTGGCCAAACACTTGCACAAATAAAAGATCTACTTCAACTTATTGAATTTTCGTTGATAGAAACAAGATGAAAGGCTGTTGGGAGCAGACTGAATATTAAATACCCTTTGTGGCATAAAGAGAGCAACATTTGTTTACGGAACATAATATTATATATTATTTGTATATCTATGATAAGCAGTCCATAAATTAAAAGAAATAAAATATATAATAGTAGTAAAGCTAGATAGAATACAGGAATGTATGATATAATATGGAAAAACTATTGTCAAAGTCAAACTTAAATTAATCTCTTATATAGGTAAATTCTCTTTTAACTAAATTTATGTATTATGTATTAATAACTTATTTATCTTCAGATCACCCAAAAATAACCTTTTTAGTTTCAGAATTTCATACAAGATTTCATTTTACAAGCTTACAAACATATTATATTATACAAATATTTCAAATTCATTTTCTTCTGGAAATTATTCACTTTATTTTTGTTTTTGTTTAATTTATTTTTATAAATGTATTATATTATACTTTTAATGCCTTTTATTGAAACCTTTGATGTCTTACATAAAACGTTGTATCAACTTAATAATAATAGACCGTTTCATTATATAAGATTCAATTATTTAAACAAATGTAAATTGCATAGCCAATATCCCCACTTGCAAAAAGTGTAGTGCACCCTGCAGGTCCTTCCATTTTCTGGATATCTTTTGCTACCTTGTACACAAAGGACGCCCAGAAAAGGCAATTGCATATGAGTTTTATGAGAGCTTCTTTTGACAACGCAGGGCTGGCTGACTGGTCGTGAATGATCCGCCTTCCCCCGACATATCCTTTTGACTGTGACAAATCCGTTAAGTCGCGCATTTCGCTCATTATTGTTGTGCGCCTGTATTTGTTCAGGGAATTTGGCTCTGACCTCGCCCATCACGAAAAGCGACGAGTGGTAAGTGTAATCAAATTCCAACCCGAATCCGGATCCGAATCCGTACTCGAATCAGGGAATGAACTCTAGACAGGACTGACTGAGCAGGAACTTGACGGCGTTTTATTATTAAATTTGAGGCCATCGGGCACACAATGCGATATCCTGCAGCGAGCCCGAGCGCTGTGCGAAATTATTAAAAAGTAATTATGGCACAAATTACGAGATATCAATATAGCATTTAGCTCTGCATGCGGCCCGCTACAAAAGGACTCGTCGTCCTGCTCCCCGTGCAGCCACCACCACTTGAATTCGGTGCAAGTCCTTTGGCTCACACATCCCATTGAATTGCATTTCCTCCACGGCTGTCTGGCACAATGCGATAGATTCCTTCTGGCCCATTGTTCGCCTCTGCTCGCCAACTTCTTGGGATCCTTCGCAGTCTCTTCACATGTTGTGCAACATTTCCTCCGCTGCTTGGCAAATTTGACATAATATCGAGATTATTGTACGATTTGAACTCTCCGCGCCCTGGCCCTTTCAATTCAGCCGGGGTAGGTCGACTATACTCGATTCCCGGCCCAAGATCGTTTTCATTTGACTCTGGCCAAAGGAAAGGTCGAGTCGAGTTTGTACACAATCAATTGTAACATTTGAGCGTTTTATAATGAGACTTTGTAGGGCCATAAGCCCTACTTAAGGTACAAACTTTTTGCGATTATTTTGCAGGGCAGCGGCAGTCAGGGAGGATCCTGTTGTGCAAAATTAAAAAATTGCTTAGGTTCGCGGAAGTTGACCTGGTGATTAACGCTGGCAATGAAGCACAAAATATGGAGTACGAAGTATAGAGGTTTTGAAAACCTTATCCGACAGTATATGAGGATTAAATATTTTACGATTAATAAAAAAAAAACTTATATACTCGTGTTTAAATATTTATAGTTTAATTCGATTCATTAGTTCATTTTCGACCCTATTAAGTATATATATTTTTATTTGGATATTGAAATTGTTTAATAAGTCCGAATAACGCTTTTAATTTTATTAATATCGGGAAACGAAAGCATATAGCTGCCAAAACAGCGCTGAGATAAATGAGATGAAAGTCATCATAGCTTCAATGTTTTTAGAGATGTTTTAAAGAATATTAAACTCTTGCAATAGCTGGGAGGGTATATAAACATTGGTTTGCCGAAGTTTGCTTCCTTTCTTGTTTTTATTTCATAATTGGGCACCTAAAACATTATATTCTCACTGATTTTTTGACTGAGGAATAAACATCCTTTCGGAAATAGACATATATATATATATGAACACCTATATGGTTGCAAAATACGTTTATCTTATTTTATATATGGGCAAGAATAAAAGGTGTTTGAAAATAAACAGCATAATCGACATTAAGATGTTCGAAACTTATATATGTTTGGTCGACGTTTAATTTATTGAGGTATATTCTAAAATATAAATATAAATATCAGGAACTGTAATCATTATGAACGATTATTTTTATTGATTTTGATCTAAAATTATGAGCAATACTCAGAAAAATCAATAATATAAATTTTTTTATTTTAATTGATTTTGTTCAAAACTAATTATTTGTTAACGGAACATAATCTTTTTAAAATATATGTACATAAACTAGTTGGTTCCTTGCACCACACTGAGCACTAAAACTCCCATAAAAGACAACAGTTTTCTTTTCATATCGTTTAT